TTTGTTATCTTTTTGGCGTACAAAATGTGAAGTATAAAAGGTATCTGACAAGGGACAGTGATGTGAACCGATAGGACAAACAATTTGGAGGTTAGGGTTTCAAGGGCCTATATATAATTAGGTGGTCCAAACTCAATAAGTAAACCCTTGTAATATTATAGAAACAGCTTAATAGTTAAGAAATCACAATTAGGTTGGGAGTGATTCTGGGGAGTAGGTGCTTCTCCCTGGAAGTGATTCTGGCCCTTAATCCCGAATGATCACTTAACCAAACAAGCTCCACATAGTGATAGTATTAGCATCCCAGCATTAAAAGAGATTATGAAATTAGAAACGGGCATAACTAAGCACTAATGAAAATGCTCATAGGTTATCCGTCACACACATATTGGAATCTGTATCAGGTATGTTTTGAATATTTTAACGCTCATAATGACTATGAAAAAAGAAAAAAAAAAGAAAAAGCCTGACAACTTAATCAACTGAATACTAACCGTATAGTTTTCGGTTACAATACTAACACTATGTTTGGTTCACACTTAATGGGGAGAATGAACAGGATTACAGGAAGGAAACGGAAATTCATTTGGTTTTCATGTCCTGTTTATGAACGATGACCGAGTGGATTTTTCTCACTCAATAATGATATATTAATTTCAGATGTTTTACATATTTTCTTATGTTGGCTTATTATTTCTTGTGCAGATATCTCCGGAGGATATTCAGTGGGTAGGTGAAGATCCTGGAATCTCTCATCGTGGGGGTTATAGTGGATCTGGTCATGGAATGAATAGATTTGTAGGCCGTGACAATGTTCCAGTTCCTGGAAGAGGTAGAGGGATCCCAAAGGGTCAAACAAGAAAAGATTTTCCGCCTTCACAGAATGGCATTGGAAAGAAGGCTCCAGACAATATCCAGTTACTTCACACAGATACTTTAATTAAGGAGGTCAGTAAAAGCTAGTTAATCCATAAATAGTCAATAAATTTACTTTTATTTGATTGATGCTTACTAAACTTTGTTAAATTTGAACAGGTAGAAAGGGTCTTTGGTGAAAACCGTCCAGACTCTGTTGAAATTGAGAAAGCAAAGAAAGTGTTGAAAGTAAGAAGGGCAACCTTAGAATTTTTTTACTCCTTTTGTCGCATTTTTAAGTTTCATGACAAGTTTTTTGTTCTTATTTGCAAAACTGATCTATTGATTTTGAGCAGGATCATGAACAAGCACTTATTGATGCGATTGCAAAGCTTGCTGACATTTCTGACGGTGAATGCGGTAATCATTGCTTTATCTTGTTTTGTTTTTCAAAGCTTACCTTGTTGTATGTAAGCTTTTAACTGATTAGTGTCCACCAAGTCTGCTTGCACAATTTCATATGAGCCCCCCCCCCATAAATTCCTCGTCATTTTATAGAAAGTTGCATCAAACACAGAAGTGAGAACTTAATTTGGCATTTCATTTTTCTTGAAGAATTTATGTTGAATAATCTGGCACTTCATATGTAATTTTCTGGAAATAGAATATACATATCTCAAATGCTATGGTTGAGAACAAATACTTTGGTGTGTATCATCTGTTTGATGCTCAATTATTTTAGTTTTATTTCCTCTCTTGATGCCTCGTGTAGGACCTTTGCCTTTAAACAGCTGATGGTCGCGGACACAGTTCTTGCACGGGCAACGGATGGAATTGAGACTGATAGATGGCTGGTTTTAAAATCTGCAGCAGTCAAAAAGCCCATAAAAGGCTGGAAGCAGGGGGGTGACGATAGGATAGGAAATTAGGCTGTGGAGGTGAAACAGATATGGGTTGAAGTGAAGGCCGCCTTTTTGTACAATGATATATCTTTTTATTATATAACTCCATACCCCAACCCAGCATGTGTAAAACTCTGGGGCTTGGGTCTTTCCAGGATAGGCATTATTGTAGAATGAGAGCTACTGCAGTCGGGCAATTACTTGGTTATAAATAGTGGGCAGGCAAAGTCAACCTAGGAAAGATCTGATGCCTTTTGTAACATTGTTTGATAGTGATTAGCGTGCTGCCTTGTGTAAATTACTTTTTACTGCCCCTTAGCTGTTGCATACATGTGATGTGAGAACATATACTCTCTTTCTCTTGGCCTAGCGTCATTTCTCTTTTCGATATTGGAAGAGGTTTCAAAAGTTCAAATCTCTCATGCTGTCCTCGGAGATAAAAGTGTCTAAACTCCAGTCAGAAGTGCATCATGCGAAGCTAGGGCATGTTTACTTGGCACAAATGAGAAGGAATGGATACGCGATGAAAAATCTTACCTTGGTTATCTCATACCTTTATTTTTCGGATGTGCGAGCATCCCGAGGTTCATTGGTTACGGAACTGGATCCCCTCCTGAGCATGGGGACTGGAGCCTGCGGTGCAGCCCATCTAGGCTCTTGAAATTTGATTCAACGGTTGTAATCATTATAACTTTTAGAGGGGCTTCTTGTTTGTAGCCATTGGATCAAATTTCAAAGGTCCAGATGGGCTGCTTAGTAGGCTCCGGTCCCCATGCTCAGGAGGGGATCCGGTTCCATTGGTTGCAATATCGGAAAAAGTTGTTCTGAAGACAAAAGAATTATTGTGGTTGTCACGATTCAACAGAACAACAAAATCAAATCTTACGGGGGAAATTTCTATAGACAAAAGAGTCAATGTGGTCGACACGATCCAACAGAGCAACAAAATCAAATCTTATGGGGGAAAGAAGTTCTAAAGACAAGAATATTGTGGTCATTGCGATCCAATTTTGCCAATAAAAAATAAAAAATATTCCGACCTTTAAAGGAAATTGCAAGGATTTTGTAGTTCAAGTGGTTAAGAGTATTTACTTCTACACTGCACTGATAAGGGGAACCGTGAAAGGGGTCTGGGTTATCCAACTTAATCCTATGTTTTCTGAAAGCAAAATTTTGTCTTCATTTTCTGTGCTAAGAGTGCTTTAGCTTGGTTGCTTTGCTCGTCACTCGTTTGTTATTTTGTTGTTGAGCAATCACCCCCTCCCCTCATGCGTTTTGGCTTTTACATTTCTCAAACTTGACTTAATGGCTAGGATCAAAGAAACTATAAGTCCATGTGAGTTGTGACTCGTGAGCAACCATATTTTCATGCGCTCATTACTCGGGTGATTGTGTGTGCAGGACTGTAACCAACTTATACTTGAGGTTGATCAAGCTTTCAAAACTGACTCAGATGTTCAACTTATACTTGAGGAGCCGGAAACAGATACAAAATTTATATATCATTCATGTTGCTCTTCTTCCGGCAGGTTATGTCTCAGGACTCAAAAGGAAAACAAGCCAATGCAAACTGCAGAATAAATAGGACATTTATCTCATCAGGCCTAGGGATGGGCAAATACCCATCGGTTATGAGTAACAGCGGTTACCCGCCCATTTAAATTTCAGGATTACGGTTATACGTAACCGTTTAGATAAATAAACGGTTATAGGTATAACCGTTTACCCGCGAAAATTTAATGGGCGGTTATGGGTATTAACCGCGGTTATAAACATGTAACCGTTTACCCATTTATTTTATATATGTAAAATTAACACAAACCATGTTCCCTATCGAACAAAACTTTGATCAATGCTATTGACTATAGTGCATGATTTCTGTAGCTAATATAATATAGTTTTCCTTAACCACTTTAAATTTCATGATCCATTATATATATTATGTTAATACTTTACATTCCAAGTTAAATAACCCAAGAATACTGTCTTTTAACAATTTTCGTTACCCAAGAATACTTAGCAAATTTTATATTACCTTCATTGTTAACAGTTAAAAATATCGTCCGTAAACTATTATTTCAATTATTGCAATGGTATAAGGACTTAAAAAATTAAAATGCGGAAATGTATGATGAATGTACCTATAACGGTGTTTAATTGTTAGAAAAAGAAAATTATGACAAATTTTTCTTTTTTAATTTTCAAGTTGTTAAAAAAACACGTAGATAGATGAAAAATGAGTAAATTAAAAAAGAAAGGATAAACGGGTTAAAAAATGATAAATGGGTAAACGGGTACTCAACGGTTACGGTTAAATGGGTATACGGTTATGAGTATGGTTAACCATTTATAAACGGTTATAGGTATGGCTATAACTGTTTAGGCAATTAACCAACAGGTAAACGGTTATACGGGTCTGAGAATAAACGGTTATGGATAAATAACCGCGGTTACCCGCCCGCCATAACCATTACACATCCCTAATCAGGCCCTTTATGCAAAAGGATTCTCAATTTTTTTTTTCAAAAAATAGGGATTAGGTGTGGAGCCCACTCCACATCGAATTTTAACTATCCGAACCATCTATTTTGTAAGTCTCGATTCATAGATTACCTTACAAAAATTCAATTCAATCCGAAACCATTTGCTTATTTATTTATCAAGATAAAATTTCATTGTTTCTTATATAACAAAGTATTCGTTAATTTCTTTGAACTCAATTAGATGTCTTAAACATTTCCGATTTGGCTAATATTTTGCAAGGATGATTTATGAGGTGCAACTTGAAAAATAGACGGTTCGGATCGTTAAAGTTTGATGTGATGTGGATCCTACAACTAATTTCTATTTTTATAAAAAAAAATAGGAATCCCTTCTCTTAAAGGTTTCTCTTCTCATTTTTTCACTTTACCAGACATTTGGTCCACCTTGAAAAAATACTTCAATATATATTTTTTAAGACATTTATATGCCCAAAAAATTGACACTATTGACACGTGTTTTTATTTATTTCAGAATCCCTACTTAAAAAAACATTTCACCATCCTTATAGTCCAAGGCACTGAAAATTTCAAACTCCCATGTCTCCTGTTGGTGGGTATTTAATTCAATAACTACACAAATTCAATAGCGTGTATGTTGTATGTGATTGTGTAATATGGTATGACTATGTTACCTGATATGCATATATATATACATGCATATACACACTAAGCAACCTTGTATTTCTGTTTTTGGTCAACAATGGCGGTCTTTTCTCTGTATCTTAGTTCATGTCATCAGAGTCTTGGGTTTAGAGCAAAAAAATACAGTAAGACTAGGATCATCAGAGGCAACAGTGTAATAAGATGTAAAAGTAGTAGATTAGATCAAACTTCGGACGAAGAGAAGGGTGGCAAAAGGAAGCTTAAAATTCTGATCGCCGGTGGGGGCATTGGGGGGCTAGTTTTGGCATTGGCAGCGAAACACCGAGGATTCCAAGTGCAGGTGTTTGAGAAAGACTCGAGTTCAGTGAGAGGGGAGGGGAAAGGACGTGGACCAATTCAACTTGTGAGTAGTGCATTGGCAGTGCTGGAAGCCATTGACGAGGACGTTGTGAAACAAATCATGGAAGCAGGTTGTGATACTGGCAACAGAATCAATGGCTATGCTGACGGAGTCTCAGGTGAATGGTATAAGCCTCCAATTGTTTTTCCTGTTTTTTTTTGAAAAACGATATTTTTACACTAAGATTATTTTCAACTCTTGAAGTAAAACTCAAAATTTAGGTTCTAAACCTACCTTAACTTGCTCCAATTCTTGGGCCAAATATGAGTTTTAACCTAAAACTCATTTTTGGGGCAAATTTAGCTTAGAATTCCTACCGAATTAGTGGGTTGACCCATCATATATGTGCAATCTTTTCTCACACACTTCTGGTTAATTTCTATCATTTGATCTTCTTCAATTCATTTGATCCGATGGCCGAAAATTAGAAGAGTGTGGGAGAAGTAAAAAATGATGTGTGGATATCACATCCCTTTATAAATTTATTGAATTCAACAGCTAAGGTCTAATAGGATCAAATCTAACGGTAAAGAAAAAGATCTAACGGTCTAAATTTAAATCAAACGGCTAAACTAATTAAAAAATATTCATTTATTTCATATTCTTTCATAGTATTCCACGAGTTTCATGATCTTGATTTAGTAATTTTCCAATATTTATCGGTATCTAAATATTTGAGTTTAAAATGTTCATAAAATTAAATTTAGATAGCCTACTTAATATTTTTTTTTTTAAAGTTACTTTAAGAATCCTAAATTCATTCTTTGATGATCTCAAATTAAAAATTTAATCCATAAGGGTTGGAGCAGAAAATTTTAGGTTTTAAATATTGAAATTCGTCTTTGGGGAGAATCAAACCTAAAACCTTTTACTTATAAGTGAAGAGAAATACTAGACCGTAGTAAGTGGCATCCAGTGGTATTTATTACTGACTTTTGAGTTGGAGGGTTTTAGGTTTGTTAAACTCTTACACAAAGTACTCGACCACAAAAGCTTCCGCTCGCGGTTATAAAAACCAACACCCTTTTTACTTACCTTGAAAATCGACAAACAAGTAGAGAATTGGGATTGGAGGTCTTCATCACCATGCCCATGACTTCTTAAATCCGAGCTCTCATGCCATATTAGACAATCACTGGACCCCAAAAGCTTGAATGGCTAAAAACAGGCCAATACTGTTGGAAGTATAGAAACTCAACACCACCGAATCAGACTTCTTTATGAATCACTTATACTATATACGGGCAGCAACTGAATGTTGTATAAGAGGATATATCATTGCTAATTTCTCCGTTTAGTGAGTTTAAATTGAGAAAGACTTAATTGATTTCTTAGTTCGTGTTTGTATTTGATCTTTGGTTTTGTACTTTTCGCTTCAGGTTTACCAAGTTTGATCTGTCATCGCCGGCTGTAAGTAGGGGGCTTCCTATCACTCAAGTAATATGCAGGATGGAGCTTCTGGATATCTTAGTCAATGCAGTTGGATCTGACATTCTGAGAAACAAATCAAAAGTGGTTGACTTCATTCAAGACCCTAACAAGGTTGAGTGGCATTCGATTCAACTAATCCTAACATATTGGTGCATTGGTCTTTGCTGCCTTAATGCTTTTGCTGGGAGTCTCGTAATGTTTTGTATATTTCACTTCCTAAATAAAGGTTTTTTTAGGAAGTGAAATATATAAAACATTATGAGACTCCCAGCAAAAGCATTAAGGCAGCAAAGACCATAATTCATTAGATACTTTATATGATTAGTAACTTTTCAGAATTCTGTACTAGTTCCTCAAACTCTTCCCGTATGGATTATTAACAATTAGGTTACAGTGATCCTTGAAGATGGACAACGATATGATGGTGATGTTTTAGTAGGAGCCGATGGAATCTGGTCAAAGGTAAGTTGTCTCTTCTTCGAACCATATGTCTCCAACATATCCTCTTTTCAACTTCATACATTTTGGGTTCTTCGTCACTAGGTGCGCTCGAAATTGTTTGGCATACGGGAAGCGAGATACTCAAATTACACCTGCTACAGTGGACTCACTAAAGTTGTCCCATCATATGTTAATAGTGTTGGGTATGCATATGTTTTCATATTTACATGCTGAATGTTTGAACTTTGACAAGTTAAGGCGTAAAATCCTAAATAAAGTTAGTAGATCAAATATTTTCATTTGATATCAACATGTTCTTGGTTTGAAGGTATCGGATCTTCTTGGGAGCGAACCAGTACTTTGGTGCAGTAGAAGTTGGGCATGGGAATATGCAATGGTTGGCCTTCCATAAGCAGCCGCCAATGAGCACTGATCCTCCTGAAGGCACTCTCTCTCTCTCTCTCTCTCTCTCTCTCACTTGTGGTAATGCCTAACCATTTACCAGTTATCTGAATCTTATAAGCTGCAGGTAAAAAGAAGAGGCTCCTGGAGGTATTTGGAAAATGGTGTCAGGAAGTGGTTGCTCTAATTCAAGAAACACCTGAGTCCATGATTTTACAAAGAGATATCTTCGATAGAGACATGATATATTCCTGGGGAACCGGGCGTGTTGCTCTGCTAGGTGATGCTGCTCATCCATTGCAGCCAAATCTTGGAATAGGGGGATGCATGGCAGTTGAGGTATCGGGTCTTAGAAATAGATTTTATCTTTCACATATCAGAAAATTGGACGGAATACCCTCTTTTGAGCTCCCATGGACTCATTACTTAAACGATTTTATGTGCAGGACAGTTACCAGCTTGTAGATGAGCTTGATCAAGTTTCCAGTACTGGCTCCGATGCTCAAAGGACAGATGCAATTGTCTTGGCCCTGAGAAGGTACGGTTAGGGTTAAATCTCTTGATCCAAGATTTAGGCTCAAATCCTGAAGCACTGTAACTTATTAGAATACGAACAAGCTTCTGTATACTTAAAGATCTCTGACCCGGCATACTAACTTTGGCTTCATTCTGGATTCATGGTGATTAGATATGCAACAAAAAGAATGAGGCGTGTTGGTATAGTGCATGCAGCCACTCGAATGGCACCGGAAATGCTTGCTATGTACCGACCTTGCATAGAGTTCAAAATTGGTCCCCTGGCTGTAAGTTTTCTGTACCAAGTTTCCCACTTAAACCTCTTATAAAGCTTGTCCTAATTTTCTATTTTTAAGAAGAAAATAATGTACTCATTTCATGTTCTTGTGGTTGCAGCATCTATCAACTCTGAAGATAATGCACCCTGCATTTCCGATGGCTCGCGCATTTCTGCAATTTTGTATGCCAGAATTTATGACTTGGATAATAACAGGGCACGGGTAAGGGAACATAAACACAATAGAAACCTGTTTCGATTCCTTTTCGCATTTCAATTCTATGAGCATTCCTCATTCAGTCATCCTCATTTTGATCTATGCGCACTTCTTCTCATAGGTTATCTCAAAGGGAGAGAAAAGGATCCATCATACAAACAGCAGAATGAATCACAAATTCAATGACTTTGTGAGAAAGACGTCATCAACAATATGTTAAATTCTCTAACAGAAGCAAGAAACTATCACTGATCAAGAACAGAGTCATTCTACTTGATGCCATGCACGATTATTCTTGGGTTAATTCTACGTAAGTGTGTTTTTGTACGTTACATTGCATATGCTTGTAACAGATATTTTGACACAAAATAATAAATCCTTCAAGCACAGACTTGAAATATATCGACCAAAACAAAAACCCTAGGGACTACTAATTAGGGAATACTATCTGCCTAATGCTAATTTCTAGTTTCCCTATCCCTCACTAGAATATACATGAATAAAGTTACACCTTCATTTCCTTGGCCATGCATGAAGCATTGAAGCTAGACGACTACTTTACCTCCTAGACCGTTTTTTAGGGCGCCTAGAAGCCTCTTGCTTTCCTCCACTTTCCCGTGCCCGCTTTGGTGAAGCTACTGCATTTGCAGCCTCAGCAGCCGCCTTCTTGGGCGGCCTGCCTACACTTCGCCTGGATGGACTGCTGCTTTCTTCCTTGGCTTGTTTCTTCTTATTGCCACTTTGCCTTAACACCCTTTCTTTAACTTTGTCAGCCTTACCAATACCTCCCCTCCTTTTCTGCTGTCCACCTGATCTAGAACTAGTGCCCGTGCCAGTACCACCACTCTTCAATGTGTCCGCAGGTGAATTCCGCTTTATTCTCTTTAAGAAATCAGCAGCTGCAATTCGCTTTTTGTCTGATCCTGCTGCCTCCATTTTCCCCTTCTTATCCGCTTTGGGAGTTTCCGCTTTCAAATTTGCCGGGCTCGCACTTTGTTTCTTTTTGGAAGCACTGGTATTATTCTCGTGATGAGCAATACTAGTACTCGTCCTTCTTGAGCCTCTGGTTGCAGTGATCACAGGGTTGTCTTTTGCTTTAGCAGCTGCAGCACTCTTTACTACGACTGAACCGCCATGCTCTTCAGCTGCTGCATGATCATCTGAAGAGGCCTTGCTATTCTTAATGGACGATTTAAGATCAAAAGCTGCTAGTTTCATGTTGTCGTCACCTTTGAGAGTTTGACCATAAATAGAAGCAGCAGCGGAAGGCTTTGACGAAATGGAGCTTCGTTTGCGGCAGACGATGATGGGGGCAGTAGACTTTTGCTTGGCAAGCAAGGAATCTGATCTTTCAAGCTGATCAGGGCGTTTGGGTTGTTGACTTGTGGCGGGTGCAGGAACTACCGAATCTGACGGTTCGGGCGCAGGGTCGTGGTTGGGCCGAGTGATGAGATTCTTCTTCTTCATTTCGTTTAAGACGAGGCGGCGGAGTTGGTGAGCGGTCCTTGAGTGGAGGGAAGATTTGGGGAAGAAAACGACGGCGTTGTTGAAGAGGAGGAGCAGGTCTCGGTAGAAGGAGAGAGAGCAGGAGGAGTATGATTCTTTGCGGAGCTTGCTTTGGATGGTTTCCAGGTCCACATGCTGCTGGACAATGCTCTTGTACTTGTCGCTTTTCTGTACATTCATCACACATTGTGGGCCCACATTGCACTAAGAATATAAATAAATCTTTTTTTTTTGTTTATTTACGGTAATTTAACCAGGCACTTGTCTCTTTTGCTTTTTTGTACCATATTTTGCTAAAAACCAAATAAAGGAGCGTTTTAAAAAGGTATATAGCAACAAAAGAATCTGGATATTTTATAAAAGGATGTACCCAAAAGATTTAAATTAAATTTAATCTAATTTTTCAAAGAAAATTAAATTTAAATTCTGATTTGAACGGCAACTGATGTGACAAATTTTATTTCTTAATTTCAGTAACCTTGAATCTCATTTTTGCCAACTACAAACAAACATGTTATAGTGCTTCCTACATCATTTAGTAGTTAAAATAATTTAGGTGTCCCTAGCATTATATTTTAGGAATTACGAAATGAGACTAACTTGGCTCCTCAATGAATGAGGAGTTTCTTATCAATTCATTACGTGGTTAATTTATGAAATTTCATATTTAAAATCGAAATTGTTTATATTATACTTTGTAAAGATCATCTATGCAAAAAATCAATATTAAGTCATCGAATTGTATAAAAACAGATTGACGGAGCCGATAAAAAAATTACAAAACATCTACCTATTTGCTACAATTAATTGACTAACCGAACTTATACTTAATTAATTTTTTTATAGAGATGGTCTTTACAATGTGATTTATAATATGAATGATTCTGATCATAAGTACGAAATTCCGTAAATTAACCACAACGTATCTTGAGGAGGAGTTCTTCCTCAATCTTAGGGAGCCATGTCTCTTTTATGAAACACACACACACACAACTCACTAGACACCAGACACTACACATTAACACCCAAATTAGCAAGTGATTTATAGCTCAATTGGTTAAGAGTATTCATCCTTACACTCGAGGTCCTGTGTTTAAATTTCTCCTTTAATTTATGCAGATATACTATTGTTTATCAGAAAAATAAACATCCAAATTCTAATTTCTTTTAGTTTAAGTAAATTATAATGTTACCGGATGAATTTAACCATATACATTTAAGAATTTTATAAAAAAAATTCATTTATTTTGCGAAGAGTAATATTTTTTATAATTATCGTATACTAGGTTTTAATCCATAAATGTAAATAAATATGTTAACAAAATGCAGGTAAGCAAGTACCAGAGAGTTTTTCATGCAAAAACCTAAACCTAGACCCCCGTAGGGCTCGGATCAGGAATTTCAGCCGCACGCGTATTTTTCACTTTACTTTTCTCAAACCAACAACAATAAATCATTTTTGGAAACATCATGACCACTTGTTTCGCCCACACACAGTCCCATTACATAGCAACCATAACACCCTTGTTATGACCAAATTATATGCACAAAACTTTAAACCAAAACTCAATTAGCTTTCGATTAAAACGAACAGTCGTTTTTTAACAGATTAATAATAATATCCCCCCCCCCTTTTTTTTTTTTTTCCTTTTGGTTATACTATCTTGTTTTCGTTTTTGTGCATGCTTCTTGGCAGACATGGTGTTTTTTCGTCACGAAATCACGACATATTGACGTGGTGTTACAAATCGTTCAACCTATCATGTCCGACTTTAAGTTTATTTTTTATTTTCCTAAGTGGATTCGTAAAAGTCGCTAAAGAAAAAAAAATAAAGATATTTTAAATAAGCAAAAATACCTGGGAAGAAAGCCGTCGCTCGAACAACGAGCCATGCTCTTGCGCGCGGATCAACTGCAGGACCTCAATCAACGGCTCTGATTTCACCAACGATACATCTTCGTTATTGTGCTGCTGCTGCTCTGGGACCTCCATTCTGCGATGGCGTTTCCCGTTCCTTTTCTTCGTCAAGCTCACCGAACTCTGCACCTCGCTGCTCTCCCTCAGCTCACCCGCCGAGTCACCCCCACCTTTCCCTTGCCGGCCCCGTACCCTCCGCTTCTTAGCCACCGTTTCGGAGCTTCCTTTGTCTGAGTCCGAATCCGACTGCCCGCTCCCTGTCTTTTTGGACGGTTCATCGGAACAGGCCGAAAGCGGGCCCGGTTCAGAGAGGGCGCGATCTCCTGGACCTGGCTTGTTGTCATGGTCCAGGTTTTTGGAGCAGGTCGAATTGGAGCCGTTCACCGACTGGTTCTCGTGGTCCGGTTTGCCTCGAACTGTTTTGTCGTTTTCTGATCTGTGCCGATTGGAGTCCTGCTGCTCCTCCTCCTCCAGATCTGGTTTGGGGTCGTCGTCTTTGAAGCTGTCTTCTCTCTCCTCCTCCAACCTCTTCACCTTCAACTGCAACGACCTGCCAAAATTAATCCAATTCAATCAAAATAACTCGCTCGGGCTCAGATCTAAAAATTTACGTGAAATTTAAAATGAAAAAATAAAAAGAAATACACGATGGAGACGTCGTAGCCATGGAGCTCTTGACGAAGCTGGGCGACGCGGAGTTTCCGGAGGTCGTCGAGCCAGGGAATATTAGTAGTATTATTGTTATGAGGATCGTGGTGGACGTCGTCGTTTTGGTGGCGGGAGTGGAAACGACGGCTGAGGTCGAGGTACTTGAGGTTGCAGTTGGAGGCGGTGGTGAGGAGGGGAGGGAGAGAGGTCTTGGCTTGGAGTTCCATGGCGACGGTGTCCCAGTCGTGGACGCCGTGACGCTTGACGGCGCATGCTAGCAAGCTCCTCCCACGTGCCCCAGGAGGACGTAGAGGTCGTCGTTTGATCACTAGTAGTAGTAATATTGTTGTTGTTGTTGTTGAAACTAGGAGTGTCAGCGGCAGCGGCAGTGCCACCTTTCATGTTGAATTATGGGTTTGGATTGTGGATTGGAGTCTGCTGCTTCCGTGCTTTTTATATCGTCCATATTTTATTTTGGTTTGGTTTAATTTCATTTCAATATTCCATTCTCATCCCTCCATTTTCTTCTTTCAAATATTACCACCGCACCTTTCTTCTTTATAATTATTTTGTAATGCTGGCGCTATTCAAACACCGGTTTAAATCTCTTGTACATCTTTTTTTTTTTTTAGGAAAACTAATGAAAATGGCTTGAAAACTTTGAGTTTTAATGATAAGGACAAAATAAAGGGTAAAGTGAATAGTAGTAGGATTGACTCTTTAGTGTAAAAATGTGGTTTTTCGTTAAAGTGAACAGTACCGGTTGCTTTTCGTTAAAGTTCCTTTTTTTTTTTGTTAATTTTCATCTTATAATCTTCTGCAATTTAAGTGTCTTAGATAGGGATGGTTTGGTATGGGATACCGACCCGAAACAAGTATCCCGAATTCCAAACAGAAAATTTTTAGGACGGGAATTTGAAAACCAATTCCAAACCAAATTTTCAAGAATCCCGAAATATTTTCAGAATTTCGGGACAAATCGGAAATCCCCAAAAGAGCTTATATGACGTAATCAAAATGTAGAGCATAGGTACAATCAAATTTTGACATTCCAGCATATTCAAATTATGTAAACGAAACAGAGAACTTTTGAAAGTCATGCATACTGACCAATGCATAAATTGCCTTAAGATCTACTAAACCGAAGTAACAAAATGACAAAGCTATACAGACCAGAAACAATGTCATGCCTTGATCCTGACATACGTCTAGGATCAACACGTAACGTCACCAAGTACCTGTATATCTAACATACCTCGCCTCCAGGATATGGACAAAACACAACTCAAGATTCTGATTGCGTAGTAATTTTTCGTATACTTTATTGATGCATCTAACCTCCTAGTTAGATTGCCTATGTACCCTCAGACGAGGTCAAGGCATTCGTAGTTCACCATTTGTTAAACTTTGAACTGTTCGTAAAACACTTCCTAGCAGAAAACATAAGAGTACCACATTACACATCAACCATAATCCAAACAAGAGTTGTCATCATGCCATTCACACAACCAAGTGCTTTCCAACACCATTCCAGAATCACATAAATCAATAACACATACAATACACCAAAATGCAGGGTTAGAGCAACATAATTCGGCTGAAGCCTACATCTCTGAAGAATGTGATTTCGGACCACTCAACGAAATCCAACAACATCGGGTTTCGGACCACTCAATGGAACCAAAATACTAAGCGAGATTCCTGACCACTCAACGGAATCCAAACCAGGATACGATTCTGGACCATTCAATGGAATCACGGAGTAAATGGATTCCGAACCTAAACGGAATCCGATTGGATACGATTTCAGACTACTCAACGGAATGGTGAAGTACAATGGATATTGGACCACTCAACGAAATCCAAGGCAAAATACGATTCTAGACCACTCAACGGAATCGCGAAGCATGAGGGATTCTGAACCACTCAACATAATCTAGACGGAGCAAGGAACCGGACCACTTACGGAACCCCAGCGGAACCTACTTTCGGACCACTCAACGAAACTGAGCGAAAGTCCAAGAAACAAATCAACGGCTCAAAGAAACATGACATGAATCAAAGTACTCAATTAATAACAACGCAATGAAACAATGAAACGAGATATGAAACAAACACAAGTACTAAATTTAGAACGGATCAATGAAGCAAGAAATGAAACGATATTGAAGCAACAAATCCCTATCACAATGGGTTAACGATCCACTACTAGGCCTCACATTTCACAAACAATTCAACCTGCATTTCAAATCACATTTCACAAGTATTCCCAATCTATAAGTCAAATCACATTTAATAAAAATAGATCGATGGCTAAATATAAAATAACAATTTAATATAAAACATAGTTCTAAAATTATGCCGTATCCACAAAGAATACTAGAATGGAGATTTCAGGGTAATAACCAGATCACATGTATTAAAGTCACTCACTAACCAATGTAGGCCCACTAGACTTCACTTAGTCTCTAGTAGTACTAATTTCAATATTTAAGAACGATTCGAAACATGTTGACCAAAAGTCAACTCTCAGTCAATAGTGGGGTCCACAACCCTACGTAATTCGATCCAGATTATCTGCCCACGGATTTCCAATCCGTAATTTCTCAAGAGTCTCATTTAACTTTTAGAACAATATCCTAAAATTTCAGAACAATCCAACGGCCGAATCTCCGCCAATCACTAAAATTAAGTGGCGGTCAACATTTGGTTTTACAAACTTAGAAATTCAATTCAGAAAGATCCGTACATCGAATTCTCGATTCTTAAGTTCCTAAGATCCTCAAATACTACGTATTATAACATATTAAAGTTTGGTAACGATCTAACGGTTGGATCGTTGATTGTTATAATGGTCAAGCAGTGAACCTTAACGAAAATATGTTCAAATGACGAAATTTCATCAATCAAATGTCAAATATAAAATCAGGATGTCGCATTTAGCCTAGAAAGACAAAGTTGGCCCATTGGCCACGCGTCGCCGATGGTGGCGGTTTCTGGCAAACGGAAACCCAGTTTTCCGACAAACTCCAAAAATTACCAAATTTTACAGAATTGTAGAACACAACAAGGGGAAGAACCCATACTTGGGCCAAAGTCCAATTCAGCCGAAAAGACGCTTGAATTCACCTTGATCCGCCGGAACCCTATAATTGGGTGTTGTTTGAATTGCTACCAAATTGAACCCCGACTCTCCGACCAATGATTGGGCATGGTTCCTAGGTTCAAGGAAAGTTAATTGATGGTGGAAGTCGAAGATGGTATCTGCAGGAACGGTGGATCGTCGCGGTGAGTCCCACGAAGCCCACAACTTCGATTCTCACGAAACAAGAGCCAAGATGGCTCGAACTTGAGTGAGAAATGAAGAGGAAAGGTCAGTGACTCGTTTAAAGGTGTTGGCCCGACGTGATTTGTCATAAAATTAGCCGGAAAAGTGACGGGAAGGAGTAAAGGAAACTGGGTCAGGTCGCGTAGGGAAACAGGTCAAAGGAACGACTCGGGTTGGCTGTTTCTCCCCTCTCCCCTTTCCCTTCTTTCCTCCCTTCCCATTTGTTCACTACTTTTCCCCTATTTTTGATTCATTAGTCCAATCCCTCATTTCCCTCAATCTCCTCTCATATCTCCATTATGGCCACACACGTGATGCCATATCACAGCTCCAGCAAATCTGGAACCTTCTAGATAATGATCAAATGATAATTTCGCCCTTGTCCTTGCTCGTCTATAACTTCTTCGTTGTAATTCCAAATTACATTCCGTTTGCGCTCAAGCGTTCGTATCAACAAGTACTATCTAAATATGTAAAGATAAATGAAAAAAATATGTAGGGATCAAATACATCCGTGAAGAATCCCATTTAATACAATAGGGGTAATTTCGTCCTTTTATTTATCCAAAAAAAAAAACTATACACCGTAAATATAAAAGCGTTGAAACTAAGAATACGAATACGAAATACGTAATTTTAAATAGTGAAATTTGGGGACGGGATTTCACAAACAAAGCTATAGCTGACCTTATGCCAGATCCCTCGAGCTCTTTCTCAATTAGATGAATGTGAGTTATTGGTTTTATTGCATCAAGAACAATTAAAATGCAATTGCATGTCCTAGCAGTGCTGATAACCTGGATGACATGAAAGTAAATAAGTGAAACCTAAAAGCATATAACGAACACCCATGCACAGAAAAGAAGGAAAAAAACAACTCATTTTCTGTATTCCAAAAAATCTCTGACATATCTCAAGCATTCATTAGTGTGACATAACAACAAATTATAACAACATTAATCACAGCCAAAAGGAAAATATAACTCAAGTATGTTTCACTACTAGAAAAGGCTCACAGCATATAAGGAAGGTCCATTTGCAAAACTATGTTAGTCCAGATCTTTATAAACTACCGAAGATCATTTTTATGCAAACCTATCTTTCTGGAAGCCATTCCATACACATGATAAAAAACCATCAGAATATTTATAATTCCATGCACGGGTACAATATTGGTCATTTAATTATTCAAAGATTCTTTGGTCTATCTAACCACATATTGGTCATTTAATGTCGGCTTCAGCTGCAAGCATGTCACAAACATGACCTCTGCCTCATGCCTAAAAATTAACTCAAGACAATCAACATTAACATTCTCTAGACATGAGAAGAAATGCAGAGAAAGGGATAGCAATTCTCATTCTCTATCATGTCTGTCACATTCATATCATGTTTAAAAGAAGCTAATTATTAACCTATGCAGATCATCTTGAAACTTTGGGGTCAACCAAATTCCAGTAATAGCGGCATTACTAAATCGAAAAAAAATTTCACAAACCCTAACCTAATGGTAAACATAAATATAGAAATTTTCACGACCTATCCTAAAACATAAACCTATACTAAATCGTGAAATATAAAAATTTCATAAATCTCAACCAAATCGGACGGCTGTTACAATTCAAAATATATATTTAAAATTAAATAATATAATTTATTTATTTATTTCTGTTCGGTTCGGGATTACTGAACAAATGAAAATGTGAGACCGATTCTCATACCGAAATTTTCGGTATTTTTTTCCACCCTTAGTCTTACACATCTCTTAAGTAATTAATTATTATTATTATTATTATTATTGTATGTACACTAAGAGTGTATATGAGTGAACGAAGCCTTACAATGAGTTGTCATAATAATGACTGTTTGAGAAAAAATTTAGACAAATATAACATTGAAACATTAAACCATTACTTTCATTTATAAATGTTGGTACTAACAACATGAGTCTTGTTCTTCAAGATTTTAGGGTCTAAGAAAATCTCAGTCACTCATTGTTTGATTTTAATTATATAATATAAAAGAAAGTACAACAAAAAAAATTAAATAACTAAGAACAAATGGTAAGCAACGACTATTTTGTTCGATTTTGAAGGTAAAACTAAAAACAAAATGTTTATCAAATAATCTCGATTCTCTTACAATTAATGTGACTTTCTTTTATTTTAGGAAAAGATAAAATTAT